AGACTAAAAAGCGCATCGGGAAGATTTGCAGCGCGCAGTAGTTTTGTGGTGTTCTGCTGGCATGTTATGCAGAGGTCCGTCATGGGCTTTGCTACCACAACACTGGGGTAGAATTCCGTCCATAGTTCAACAAACTTAGAATAGCTTACTGCTTGCTTTTCTGATGCTTTGCAAGCGCTTTCGAAGGGGCGCCACACGCCCATCTTTGTTTCGTGGGAAGATAGCAGTTTGATATCTTCATCTTTGTATCCAGGAATCCTTCCAGGCAGCGAAATTGCATTCTCTTCTACGTAGTTTGCAATAAATACTTTAACATCTTCTACAACAGCATGGGGAAGTGCGTTCTGAGGCAGTCTCTTGGTGTTTCCATGAGTTCTTGACGAAAGGCCGTTGTTCTCATAGTGATCTTTAAGCCGTCGAAATCGAGAATAACTTAAACCATACAACATGAGAAACATTTCACGGCAAACAGGCATTGATTGAAACAAGAAGTTGCAACGAGGACTTCTGTTCCTTTTCTCTCCAACGTTCTCGACACGGGTGACCGCCTGAATGTTCGCCAAAATAACCAGGTCTAGTTCTCTAGCAGAGAGTTCGAGGCAGTTGTTTAAATTTACCATGACCGCTTCCTCTGTGAACTGGGATGAACAGCGACCATCGCGTGGACCACGAGAGCATTTGCAGGCTTCTTTTAGGAATTCTTTCAGGTTCGTAAACACTTCTCTTTCTCTGTCTGATCGCTCAATATTAATCTCTTCGTTCTCCATCATTGCAGTTTTAACGTATGTAATAAGCTAAGTTAGACTGAATACAATATTGTCAAGTTTGAGTTGCTATGACGATGGACTGCGCGAATTGGCCTGGGGACGAGTGTTTCATCTGTTCCCTCCTTGGAATCTCATGAATGCATGAATCGACGAAATAATTGTTTCTTTGTTTCTCGATTCCCAAGCAGTGTTTTTATATTACACCAAGAAAAGGGTAGAAGAGAGGATACTTCACAGTTTACCTGCATGCTGATTGATAAGTTAAAGAGGAATGAATTGATTGTGTGAGTCTCCTCGGTTCCGATCGGGACCACGGCTAGTGTTTACATGATTAAAATGGGACCTATAGATCAGAAGGGAAACTTCTCCACAAAAACGGTTTCATTTTTCTCTGAGGCCAGTCTCGGAATGATGCAACTTACTCAATGATGGGAGTTTGAATGGTCCAAACGGACCATAACCTTTTAACGTTTTGTCGAAAGCGGTGAACCGAGGCGTTTTTTCTTAAACGGATAAGCTAACTGATTAAACGTTTTCTTGAAATGTTTAAACGGATAAGCTAACCAATTAAACGTTTTGAGGAAACGTTTAAACGGATAGGCTAACCGTTTAAACGTTTTGTCAAAAGCGTTAAACGGATGGAATTTTTTTTAAACGGATAAGCTAATCGTTTAAACGTTTTGACCGAAACGTTAAATGGATACTCGATTTTGAAAACGGATGAGATAAGCATTTAAACGTTTTGTATGATCCGTTTAAATGGATGTTAAACGGATACTAAACGGTTATTTCCGTTAAACGGTAAAGCGTTAGTGTACGTTTTCCCATGGAAGGTCACAAATTACTTCAATCGAATTCCTCCTGCTCCTCTGCATATAGATAGTTTGGCAGGTTC